GTATGTATATTATAAATAGAGTGGATAATGGGAGGGATTTTTAAAAAGGATGAAAAAAATCATAGGGCGTGTTGGGAGTTAAATAAAATCATAGTGATTTTGAGGAAGAACGTCACAAGTTTCTATTTGAATTCAGACCTCTGGTGATGACAAGGATCTGCCGTCTCCTGTCCCTTTCCCAGGAAATATCGAAGGACTCTGAAGCCAATGAGGTATGATGACTGAAAGATATGTAAATGAAATAAGATAGCTATTCTATCCACCAGAGTGGCGATATTTTGTAGTAAATGGCAAGTACTGTGAATTGATTAAATGATACTGGGGTTGTCTATTATATCAGCCCGAGTGGCGATATTTTGTATTAAATGGCAAGCACTCTGAATTGATTAAATGATACTGAGGTTGTCTAAGCACCATGAATTGATTTTAATCATACAGAGGTTGCATCACCGTTACTCAGTTTCACACCGACTTGACAACTACGACATCGCTGGTCGCTACTATACTCTGCAGCACTGGTGTCTATGGTGTAGCGTTTATTCGCTTCTCTTTGACGAGCAAGAGACCCGATCTCGATTCCCCGATTGAGCAGATCTTTATCGAGTTTCTCGGTCTGTCTGCCAGGATGTTGTATCACTCCCAGCAGGAGTTGGCCCTGACAGGCAGAGATGGAAGCTCGCCTCCTAGATGATCTAAAGTGTGTCGATAGAGGCGTTAAAACAACTACGATGGAAAATTTTTCAAGAACACTGCAGCGCCCCGTTTTGGGGCTTGAGTCATCTTGTCTTGCTCACGAACTCTGCCCAGAAATTTCACAGTTTAGAGGCTCCGGGAGTTGTACGGGGTCGAAAGGAAACGAATTGTAAACGCGCGCCATTGTACAATCAGCGCAATTTGATAATACGCCATCTGAAAACATTGTCGTGCAAGGTTTCTTGACAGGAATTCCCTTAAGAATGATAGATACAGCACAAAAAAACACCACCTCGCGAGCAGTTAGTTTACGTTAACTGTCTGTCTGTCTGTCTGTCTGTCTGTCTGTCTGTCTTTCTCTCTCTCTCTCTCTCTCT